CTGCTACTCTGTCCCTCAAAGTGTTTGATTGTATTCAGGAAACTTCTTAGCTTTGGTTTAGTCCAGTTGTGCTGACTTCCCCTGTAGTGTGTGCTGTCTTGGTTGCATTCTTGATATGCTGTGATTTGTGTAGTGTTCCACATCATGCATATCAAGATTACGAGGCTATTTTGTGGTATTAATGTAAGTAATAATAGTAATCTTCCGTGGATCCAAAATTTTTGCTCAGCTGGATATTCATGAAAGCGATACTGGCGTGAGGGATTTGTATTTTTTTTCTGTAGAGTTGAGCTAGCCATTGAGGTTTTTTGAGCAGTATGCCAGTGTGATTAGTGCTATATTTTAAGAATTTATCTTACGTAAGTGTGTTGGATGCATTGGAGCAGGGAGAGGGAGGCGTTAAGGAGACTAGTTAGGTGGTGATTTTTGCAGCCCCGGTAAAACGTAGAGAGGACCTGTCCAAGGTTAATGGCCATGAGACTAGAAAGGAAGGACTTCATGTGAATTGATAAGAGAGGATGAGAAATCAAGTGATAGTGAAGCTTTGGGGCTCGATTCTTGGGCCACTAACAGAAAAGGGAGAGGGGCAGTTGGTTTTGAGATGTAGTTTTGGACAGTCTTTTAAATTTGAGGGCTTGTGGGATCTATTAATAGAGATATTATCAGATTATTGGAAAAATGGAAATGGGGGTTATAATATTATGATATTTAGGAAGGTTTTTGCCTAAAGGTAGAGGAAAATGATTAATGTTATCTTGTGCCTGACTCATAGTGGGTACTCATAAATTTTGAAATTAATTGAAGAAGTGCCCATACATATGATTTTTCTTTCATCTATATTTCCTGCATATTCAGCAATTACCATTTTATATACTTAAAAATGGAAGATTTTTTTACTGTTTTTTTTTATTTTTCAGTTGCATAGGCTGCTCCAGAGTTAAGACTGCATTTTTTCTTACTCCCTAGGAGGTGAAGATAGAGAACTTGTTCAAAGAAGGAAAGAGAAATATCGACTAGAACTATTGGAACAAATGGCTGAGCAACAGAGGAACAAGAGACGGTAATGAAAGGTTTGCATTTCAAAAGAATGTTATGAATTTAAATAACCTCTTATAAAATGCATTTGTGTAAAATGACGTGGTGGTAACTATTATGTAGTAAAATAAGGGCTGTTTTTCCTAATATGATTTTGGATTGGTATATATTTGGTAACAGGCCTTTTACATTGTTTCATTAACTTCCTCAGTTTTTTATTGAGGATGGAATTTAATGTTACCTACATACCCAGTGCATTATCTCATATATAATAACAAATATAAAAGTATTTTATCTTTTTTACATTTTGAAATGGCAAGCACACATATATTCCAATATAAAAATAATCATGGTAAGTTTACAGGTATTTATATTGTATACAAGTTACAGTGTAATTTTTCTTTTCTTTATTTCAGTGTAATCTTTCTTATAGAAATATTTATTAAATAGTAATTTTAGTTTAAAATTAGGAATAGAAATCTTGGTTCTAGAGAATTAGAACCTATCTTTTAGTTTTTCCTTTATCTTAGAGCAAGACAATATCTGCTGTTGGATAGTAACCATCTTTAACATCATTTTCTTAAAAACTCTTATTAGAAAGTATGGTACTGATATTTAACTTTTTGTCAACTGAAAATATACACGTACCCTAAAAGAAGGTTTTTTTGGTTTGTTTCACAAAGTAAAGATTTTGTTTTATTTCTGTACTTTGTTCTGGGTGAATTCCTTAGTCTCTGAAGTATCCCAGACACTGGTTTAGAGATACGTATTCTAGGTCAGTCACATGTGAATTCTAGTTTACTCTGCACTAAGTCAGAAAAATTATTTAAGAATTATTTAAGACTTTATTGTTGAATGAAGGAATTATTTGTAGTTGAAGAGGTTCTATTATACTTTATTTCAATAATTCTTATTTTGGTAGTGTTTACCGTTGTTAACATGTAAAATTTTAATTTTGTTTAGAGAAAAAGATTTGGAACTCAGCGTTGCCGCTTCTGGTGCACAAGATCCTGAGAAATCGGTGAGTGTGGCGTCTTTTAATGTTTCGTCTTTCCTTGACGTAACTCTCAAATATAGTGGCGAAGTGGAGATAGACGATTTTGGAGGAATTGTTAAGAGTAGGCTGGTTTGAACAGTAATAAAATGAAATTCAGTTCTCATAAAAGGTAAATGCTAACTCTTATCTGTTCTTTGTTTCTCTAAGATTATTTATTTGTGCATTATTTTTTAGTTTGTTTTAAATTAGTCCTTTATACTTTGTTTCAAATGTACTATTCCATGGGAAAGTTATCTCAGTTTAATCTACAACAGAAGCTAATGTTTTTCTTGAGTAGAAGTTAACGTTTTTCTGGAGTATATCTGGAGCCTGGTGGTGTGGTGGTTAAAGCGCTTGGCTGCTAACCAAAAGATCAGTGGTTCAAACCCACCAGCTGTTCCATGGGAGAAAGATGTGACAGTCTGCTCCCATAAAGATTACAGCCTTGGAAACCCAATGGGGCAGTTCTACTCTGTCCTATAGGGTCACTCTGAGTCAGAGTTGACTTCGATGGTAGTAGGTTTGGTTAAGTTATCTTTACCATTTTTCTTAGAGTGATTTCCAAGGAAACTGAAAGCTTTAATTCTAGTGTTTAAGCATTTTACTAATTTTCATTTAACGTAAAACTAGAAAGATAATAACCTTATTTTTATTTTAATTTTGCAATTCTCATCATTAAGTGGAATGAATTACTCACAGCATTGCAATTAAGTGAGGAGGAGGTAATAATTTATTGCTTTTATAAAAATGTAGTTTTTTCTGTAGTGTGATATGTAGATTCATTTACTAAGTCAAGTTTTTGCTTGATGTTTGAATGATGATTGAGAATCTTTAATTTCATTAAAGAGTTCATTTAAAAAAGAATATAGCAACTTAAAATTATCCAACTCCAGGCAACTCTTGATTTTCTTTTACATGTACTGTGTATATATCCTGTGGGTTCTCTGTTTAGAAAAGTTTCCTACTGCACCAGCATCACTCCCAAGGAGCTTTTGACTACTCATAAAATAAAACTTTTAGATGAACCTGAGAAATTATTCCTGGGAATGGTAGGAAAAAATGATAAATTTCAAAGCTAAATATGTTTTCTTCTATCAGTAAACACTTCTGAAATAGATTTGACAATCAGAAACTTCCTTTTGAAATCTTGAACTTTTTAATGTAATATGGTGTGGCATGTTAAATTTTAGAGTCATAGATACTTTAGTGTTTGACAGACCTTCTTATTTGTCTTTGAATGCAGCCTGTCTGAGTTTCAAGTTGCTTTATGAGAATAAATAAATGAACATTTGAGACTTAATAGTTAGGTCATTACTTTTGGGTTTATTTTGATTTGCAAATCCTAGAAAAGGACACGTAAGTAATGTTCTGAAGCAGGAGTCAGCAAACCATGACCTGCGGCCAGATCTGGTTGCCGCCTGTTTTCCTAAATAAAGTTTTGTTTCAGCACAGCCTTGCTCATTCAGTTACATGTTGTCTGTGGCTGCTTTCCAGCTGCAGAATTGGTGAGTAGTTGTGAAGAGACCTTCTGGCCTGCAAAGCCCAATATGTTTACTGTCTGGCTCTTTACAGACAAAGTTTACTGAGATCTGTTCTAGAGACTACTTTGATACCAGAAATGGCCATTGAATAGAGAAGTAGCCTAACATTATAGCTATAAGAGAAACAGTACTATATTTAGAATTAATATTTTGGCTCTAGTCCTTGCTTGATTATTTAGGTGACCTTAGATGATTTATGTACTTCTGGGGGAGCTTCCATTACCTCATTTATAAAGTAAGGATTAGATCTTCAAAATCTTTTCTAGCTGTAAAATTCTGTTATTCTGTAACCAACTTAAGTGCCTCCTGGCAGTCTGGGATAGAGGGTCCTTTGAGGTCCCTTTTACCTTTAAATTTCTGATTTTATGTAACGAACAGATTTTTTTGTTTTTTTTTATTTTAGCCTGATAGACTAAAGCAGCTTAGTGTGACACCAAGACACTTTGAAGAGACGATACCACCTGAAAGACCCAGAGTAGCTTTCCAGACACCTCTCCCTCCTGCCCCATCTGTCCCACCCATTCCATCAGTTCACTCCATCTCATCTCAAAACGAAGATTTGTGTAATGGACTCAACAGCACCCTTGGTGAAATGGTGCCTCCCAGGTGCTTGTTTATAATGTTCTGTGTTTGGGATCTAGGTAAGGTATTATGTGTTTTGAAGAATGTGCTGAAGCAGGTAACATCATCCTTCAGAGATTTTGTACAATCAACAGCTTTTGCCAAATAATTATCTTATTTTCGTTGTTGGTCTTTTCTTTACTAATATAAAACCAATGCAAATTCTTATGAGATTCTTTTATTGTTTAACGATGCTTTAGTACTTTTGGAATGAATAACTACGTTTTAGTTTTAGGTTATATTTTGGAATATCTGTTTTTAATATCTTTTAACATATAAAAGCTATACATTTTCAATTTTGTAATTTCCACTTGGCAAACATTGAATTCTTTGTTCACTTTGTACAGAAAAGTCTCTAATGTGGCTCTTATATATACATGATTTTATTTTAGCTTGTTTCCTTTGATTCTTTCTCTGTGATTACTTAAGGGCTATACAGCTTAAATGCCTAAAATAAAAAAGTGTTGAGGTGATACACCTGTAATTTAGGTATTATGGAAAAGATTAAATTCTATAAGTGAAAGGCATAATGTTAATGGTACCATCTGTGCTATCCCTGGATTATACATACAGAAAATCCTGTTGTTAACTTTCTTCTCTTAGTACTCTTGTTGTTGTTGTTGTACTTGAACTTATTCTCTGCTTAATATTCATGTATTAATTATAGGAATGCATTTAAATTTTTTGGGTTTTTTTCCCTAAAAATTTCGAACCTTATATTTTCTGGGCTATACTTTCTTCTTTGTGTAGGACTTGTTCTTATCTTTTATTTACTACTAACAAGTTGTTGGTCTGTATTTACTGTATTTACCAGATCTTTTGTTTGTTTTGTCTAATGGCTTCCGAAATGAAAATACTGAGAGGGACCGGAATTACAGAGCATGGCATAGCGATTTTAGCATCGGATTAGGGATTGAAATGCTTGGCTTCACTGTCTTAATTTTGGACAAGTCACATCTTTGTGGAACTTTAAGTCTCTCATTTGTAAAAATGGAATAGTAATACTTTTTCTTTGACTACAATTATAGGATTTTTGTGGGGATTAAATCTTACATATATATAAACTCTATATAAAAAGTTAAGGTTTAATGATGATGACTGTTCACTTTCATAGCAGTTATTCGACTGCTTTGCTGATGTGCCTTTGGGATGAGGATAGGGTAAGGTTAGAAGCGTTGAGTAACTACTTACTGTGAAAAATATTCGCTACTGAAGAGAACTTTAATGTCTTTGTAGTCCTTCAGAATTATTTTGAAGTATACGCCAAGGAAGAATCTGTTAAGATGCCTTAAAAGTGAAAATATTCTAGAATGCCCCCTTTCTCTTTCTGCTCAGCTAAAGGAGTTCGTCTTTTGCCATTTTTACTATTGGAAAATACTGCATTAGTGGAAATACAGATATATTTTCCTATTCAGTAATAAAATGCTAAAGTAGTGGTTTTCAGAAGTTTTGGATTTATGAATAATAAAGTTTATGTTGAGACATTTCTTCCTTTGAAAGAATAATACATTTTATACTTTAAGATATTTCCTTTTCCCACTCAAACTAAACCATTTGTAATCATGCTGTGTTGTAACTCTTTGCATTCTCTTCATGGACCATCATTCCCTTCTAGCTGTGACTAGCTTATTCTAGTAACTTGGCTTGAGCAGTGTTTTTTTCCAGAAAGCCTTTCTTGTATTTTCCTCCCTTCCCCTCCCTATGATTTAAATGTCCCTGCTCCATGTTCCTGTAGTATCCTGCATCAAATTCTATTATTTCATTTACTATCCTTTGCTATAATTGTTGTTTATTTCTGTATTATTGCTGAGGGACAAGGGACTATGTCTGTCTTTATTTGATACTGGCACATAGTGACTACTGGATATTAATTTAAGGTTTTGTCTTACATAAATGTTGTATCTGTAGTTCTGAAATTTCATACTATGCTATTTGCATTTGGAGCCATAATTTTTGATGAAGATTGTAGCAAAAAGGTGGCTTTTTCTAAAGCGGCTATTAGATTTTCAGTAACATTTTTTGCAGAATAATAATAACTTGATTTTTAAAAAGATTTGCAATGAAATATGAAAAGAATTTTCCAATTTTCTTTTGATATAGGATTGCACCTCTGCCTCCACCTCCCCTACTGCCACCTTTGGCTACTAGCTATCGAACTCCTTATGATGATGCATACTATTTTTATGGGGCCAGGAATCCTTTGGATCCCAGTCTTGCTTATTGTAAGTTATCTAAAGAATAATATTTTTTCCACTAGTTCAATCTGGAAAATTAGTTTTTGTGCAAGCAAAAATATATAAATGAGAAAAACACAGCTTTTCTTATTTCAAATATTATGTATTTACCGACTTAGTAAATGCCCTGTTTTAAAACCTAGTTGTATTTCATAGTCAGTTCTTGTTCATCTAGATTTTAAAAATAACTATTTTTTTGTTCTTGTATTGTTCTTTGTTAATTCCTAACTCAGAAGGAAATATTGATGCTTTTCCTTCGGTAACATTTTCATTATATGCCTTTTACTGTAGGCATAAATAGTTATTAAATGGGTACCCTGAAATAAATTTTTTTTCTTTTAAGATGGTTCAGGAATGATGGGAATGCAGCCTGCAGCTTATGTCAATGCTCCTGTCACCCACCAGCCAGCACAATCTGTTGTGTGAGTCGTTAGTTAAAATAATCATTTACTTAAAGAATCTTTTGTCTTTCATAGAACCTGTATTATTCAACTCATTCTTATTTTCTTCAGAACAGAGTAACTTATTTTAACTTCTAATGATTACACAGCCAGTATGTTCAAAGCATTGCTTTTAAGTCAATATTTTATAGAAACTGCATTTTATAAATTAAGAATAATCTTATTTTTTCTCATTATAAAAATCATACATGCAATTGTTAACAATTCAGAATACAAACAAGCAAAAACAAAAGAAAAATCACCTAAAATCTCATTAACCCCAAGGTAGCCATATTTATATATGTATTCAAGAAGTTTTTGTGTGTACATAAACATGTGCACACACTCAACAAAAATATATACCCAACACACACCAAATTAGTATTATATTGTATATATGTAAATTTATAACCTGCCTAAGAATTAACAACATATTGTAAACACTTCTTCACTTCAATAAATATACTTACGTAGCGTCAGTTGTTTTAAGTTAAACTTTTTGTTTTGAGATAATTGTGATCCACATGCAGCTGTAAGAAATAATACAAAAGAGATCCTGTGTACCCTTTAGCCAGTTTTCCCCAAAGGTAACATCTTGCATAATAGCTAAAGTGCAGTATCACAACCAGGATATTGACATTGATATATTCAAGATACAGAACATTTACATCTCCACAAGGATTCCTCATGGTGCGCTTTTATAGCCACACTTAGTTCTCTTCTGCCCCAGTTCCCTTCTTAACTGCTGACAACCACTAATCTGCTCTCCATTCCTATAATGCTGTCGTTTTAAGAATGTTATGTAAATGGCATCGTGCAGTGTACAGCCTTTTGAGATTGGCTTTTTTTTACTCAGCATAATTCTCTGGAGATTGATCAGGTTGTTGCACGTATTAATAGCTTGTTCCTTCTTCCTGCTGAGTGATATTCACAGTATCCATGTACCACAGTTTGTTTAACCATTTACCTGTTGCAGGGTATTTGGGCTGTTCCCAGTTTGGGGCTGTTTTGAACATTCGAGTACAGTTTTTTTGTGTGTGAATGTAAATCTTTGTTTCTTCAGGAGAAATGCCTGGGAGTGTAATTCTTGGGTTGTACGGTAGTTGCATGTTTAGTATTTTTTAGAAACTGCCAATTATGGAAACTTCAGTATCTTCACATCCTTGCCAGCATTTGATGTTGTCACCAAATGAAGTGTGTTTAGTTTCCAAATAGTTGGAGTTGTTCCTGTTTTTTTTCAGGTGTGTTTTATATCTGAGGATATGGTCTGTCTTGGTATGTGTTCATTGGACACTTGAAAATAATGTGCTTTCTGTTGTTGGGTGTAATGCTCTATAAGTGTTGAGTAGAATCTTGTTGGTTGATGGTGGTGTTGAGTTCTTCTGTATCTTTGCTGATTTTCTGTCTAGTTGTTCTATCAGTTGTTGAGAGAGGGGTGTTGAAGTCTCTAACTGTGTTTGTGGATTTGTCCATTTCTCCTTTTTTTGTCCGTTTCTCCATAAGTTCTGTCAGTTTTTGCTTCACATATTTTGCAGCTCTGTTGTTTGATTCATACACATTTAGAATTTCTGTCTTCTTGGTGGATTGACCCGTTTGTCATTGTATCATGTCCTTCTCTCTCGCTGATAATTTTCTTTGTTCTGTAGTTTACTTTATCTGATATTAATATAGCCATTCTGCTTTCTTTAATTAATGTTTTTGCTTTCAGTCAGCCCATATCATTATATTTGAAGTGAGTTTCTGTAAACAGCATATAATGAGATCATATTTTTAAATCCAATCTGCCAGTTGCTGTCTTTTAATTGCTGTATTTAGACCATTTATATTTAATGCCGTTATTGATATGTCAGGACTTAGATCTGCCGTTTTGTTTTTGTTTTTAGTTTTTCATCTGTTTGTTTTCTTTTTTCTGCCTTCTGGTGGGTGACTTGAACATTTTCTGTGATTCCAATTTGATTTATTGTTTTTGCGAGCCCCAGGGTGGTATAAATCCTTGACATGCTTGGCTGCTGACTAAAAGGTTAGAGATTCGAGTCCACCTAGAGGTGCCTGGGAAGAAAGTCCTGGTGATCTACTTCTGAAAAATCAGTCATTGAAAACTGTGTGACACACAATTCTACCCTGACACACATGGGGTCGCCATGAGTTGGAATCGACTTACTTGATGGTAACTGGTTTTTACAGTGTTTTTTGAGTGTATCTCTTTTTATAGCTTTTTTAGTTGTTGTTCAAGGTATTACATTATATATAACTTATCACTCTTGTCATTTTATCAATTTGAGTGAATATAGAAACCTTTTTTGTCCCTTTACTCTCCCCCATTTATTATATAATTGTCTTAAATATGAACCACATAAGACAGTGTTATAGCTTTTGCTTCAACTGTCAAACATAATTTTGAAAATTTGAGAAGGAAAGTCTGTTTTATTTACTCATATTATTGCTTAACAGGTCTTTTCTCCCTTCTTGATGCTCCAAGGTTCGTTCTTTTATCATTTCCTTTCCTTTGAGAATTTCCTTTAGCCATTTTATTAGGGTAGGTCTCCTGATCATGAGGGGGTGTTGTTTTTTTTTGGACTGTTTGATTGTGTTTCAGAGGAAAGTTTACCCAGTAAATTAGATTCCCATTTAACAATTCATACACGAATTATTCCGTGACATTGGTTACAATCCCCGCAATGTGTTGACACTCTCACCATTTTTACCCCATCTGCCCCCTTTCTATCCTTCTAGTTTCCCTGCCCCTCTGTCTTTCTCATCTTTGTTTTTGGGTAAATATTTACTGTTTGGTCTTGTATAGCTGATTGTTTAAAGGAACATATTAATCACAGGTGTTATTGTTTATCTTATAGGCCAATCTATTATTTGGCTGAAAAATGACCTCCAGGAGTGGCTTCAGTTCCAGGTGTAAAGGGTATTTTAGGATGATAGTCTCAGGGGTTCCTCTAGTCTCTATCAGTCCAGTAAGGTTGATATTTTTTATGAATTAAGTTTTGTTCTACAATTTTCTCCCAGTCATATGGGACCTTCTTTTGTGTCCCTGGTCAGAACAGTTGGTGGCGGTAGCAGGGCACGATCTAGTTCTTCTGGTTGCAGACTTCAAGAGGCTATGGTTCACATGGGCCATAAGTCCTGTGGACTAATTTCTTCCTTGAGTCTTTGGTTTCCTTCACTCTCCTTTGCTCCAGATGGCCACTTGCAAGCTTTTAAGAGCCCAGATGCTCCTCACCAAACTAGAGTGTAGAACATTTGTCTTTAGATATGTACACATGGATGTACTCCCATACGCCTTCTCACACCCGTATATTATACATTCCACCTGTGTAACCACTCACATATTTTTTGCTTGTTATCACTGTTTTTGCAAGATTGTATATATATTATAGCATTTACTGTAGTTGTCTTGTGCACGTTGCAGTGTCTCCATTTACCTTGGTCAAGTTGTGCTGACTTCCTCCATAGTGTATATTGTTTTTCCCATCACCAGAATTATCTTGTGTCTACTGTCTAATAAGTGATTCCCCCTCTTACCCTCTCCTACCCTTGGTAACCACCAAAGAACATTGCTTTCTGTGTGTATACCTATTCTTGACTTTTTATAAAAGTGGTGTAATGCAGTATTTGTCCTTTTGTGTTTGACTTATTTCACTCAGCATAATGTCTTCTAGATTCATCCACATTATGTTTTGAGGACTCATCATTATTCTTTATCATTGTGTAGTATTCTGTTGCATGTACGTACCACAATTTGTTTATCCATTCATCAGCTTAGGTTGTTTCTTTCTTTTTGCCATTGTGAATAATGCTGCAGTGAACATAGGTTTGCGTATGTCTGTTTGTGTCACTGCTCTTATATGTCTAGGATATATACCTAGGAGTGGGATTGCTGAATCATAAGGTATTTCTCTTTCTAGCTTTTTGAGGAAGCACCATACCATTTTCCATAGTGGTTGTACCATTTTACAGTCCCACCAGCAGTGTATAAAAGTTCCAGTCTCCCCACAACCTGGCCAGCATTTGTTGTTTTCTGTTTTTTGTGTGTTTTTTTTTTTTTGACCAGTGCCATTTTTGCAAGGGTGATATGGTATCTCATTGTAGTTTTGATGTGCATCTCTCTAATGGCTAATGAGCCCTGGTGGCATAATGGTTAAGAACTTGGCTGCTAACCAAAAGGTCAGCAGTTCGAATCCACCAGCCACTCCTTGGAAACCCTATGGGGCAGTTCTCCTCCGTCCTATAGGGTTGCTATGAGTGGGGATTGACTTGACAGCAACGGGCAAGGCAAGGCAGGGCATATTACACATAGAAAATGTAGCTACCAAGCAGTAATGAGTCGGAATTGACTCAATGGCAATGGGTTTTTTTTTTAAATGGCTAATGTCCCCACATGTCTGTCAGTTTGTTGTACTGTGGTGGCTTGTGTGTTGCTGTGATGCTGGAGGCTATGCCACTGGTATTTCAAATACCAGCAGGATCATCCATGGTGGACAGGTTTCAGCTGAGCTTCTAGGCTAAGACAGACTAGGAAGAAGGACCTGGCAGTCTACTTCTGAAAGAATTAGCCAGTGAAAACCTTATGAATAGCATTAGAACAACACTGTCTGAGAAGTTGTCAAGAATTTCATTTTACTTGGATCTACAGTCAATGCCCATGGAAGCAGCAGTCAAGAAATCAAATGATGCATTGTATTGGGTAAATCTGCTGTAAAAGATCTCTTTAAAGTGTTAAGAAGCAAAGATGTCACTTTAAGGGCTAAGGTGCGCTGACCCAAGCCATGGTGTTTTAAATTGCCTCACATGCATGCGAAAGCTGGACAAAGAACAAAGAGACTGAAGAAGAATTGGTGCCTTTGAATTTTGGTGTTGGTGAAGTATATTGAATATACCATGGACTAGCCAAAAGAATGAACAAATCTGTCTTGGAAGAAGTACAGCCAGAATGTTCCTTAGAAGCAAGGATGGCAAGTTTGTCTCACATACTTAAGACATGTTTTCAGGAGGGGCCAGTTCCTGGAGAAGGACATCATGCTCGGTAAAGTAGAGGGTCAGTGAAAAAGAGGAAGACCCTCAACGAGATGGATTGACACAGTGGCTGCAACAATAGGCTCAAGCATAACAATGATTGTGAGAATGGTGCAGGACCAGGCAGTGTTTCATTCTGTGGTACATGGGGTGGCTATGAGTCGGAATCGACTTGATGGCACCTAACAACAAAAACACAGGAATGGCTAATGATCGTGAGCATGTCTTCATGTGTTTGTTAGCCACCTGAATGTCCTCTTTGGTGAAGTGTCTGTTCATATCCTTTGTCCATTTTTTGATTGGATTGTTTGTCTTTTTGTTATTGACTTGAAGTTTTTTATATATTTTAGATTTTAGACCCTTGTCAGATATGTCATTACCAAATTTTTTTTCCCAGTCTGTAGGTTCTCTTTTTACTCTTTTGGTAAAATCTTTCGATGGGCATAAGTATTTAATTTTTAGCAGTTCCCAGTTATCTGGTTTATCTTCTGTTGTTCATGCATTTTTACTTGTGTTTGATAGTGTATTTGTGCCAAAAGTTAGAACCCTTAACTTTGTCCCTATGTTATCTTCCAGGAACTTTATAATTTTAGCTTTAACATTTAGGTCTTTAATCCATTTTGAGTTAATTTTTGTGTACAGTGTGAAGTATTCATCCTGTTTTATTTTTCTGCAAATGGATATCCAGTTTTGCCAGCATCATTTGTTAAAGAGCTGTCTCTTTTCCATTGAATGAACTTTGACCCTTTGTTGAAGATCAGCTGTCCATGAATGATTTACTTCTGGGTTCTCAGTTCTGTTCCATTGGTTTATGTGTCTGTCATTGTGCAAGTACCAGGCTGTTTTGATTACTGTGGCTGTATAGTAAGTTCAGAGTTTGGGAAGTGTGAGGCTTCCTACTTTCTTCTTCTTCAGTATTTGCTTTAGCTCTGCAAGGTCTCTTTCCTTTCCATATTGGGAGGGCTGTTGAATTTTGTCAGATGTTTATTTCTGTGTCTATTGTGATGATTGTGTGTTTTTTGTCCTTTATTCTATTAATATGACATACTACCTTGATTGATTTCAGATATTAAATCAACCTTGGATACTTGGGATAAATCCCACTTTGTCAGGAAATAGAATTCTTTTTATATTTTGTTGGGTTCTGTTAATTTTTTTGTTGAGGATTTTCATATCTATATTCATTAAGTGATACTGGTTTGTAGTTTTCTTTTTCTTCTTTCTTTCTTTTGATGTCTTTTTCTGATTTTGGTATAATACTAGCCTAATAGAATGAGTTGGAAGTATTTCTTCATTTTTCATTTTTTGGAAGAGTTTGTAAATGATTGTTGTTAATTCTTTAACTGTTGGGTAGAATTCATCAGTGGAGCCAACTGCCTTGGTCTTTTCTTTGTAGGAAGTTTTTTGACTACTAATTCAATCTCTTTATATTTTCTAATTTTTTCTTCAGTCAGTTTTGGTTGGTTGTGTCTTTCTAGAAATTTGTCCATTTCCTTCAGATTAGCTTAATTTTTTGGCATACAGTTGTTCATAGTATTTCGTTACAATCTTTTTAAAATTTTTGTAAGGTCCATAGTGATGCTCCCTCTTTTATTCCTAATTTTAATAGTTTGAGCCTTTTCTTTTCCTTGGTCAGTCTAATGAAGTGCTTGTAAATCTTGTAGATGTTTTCAGAGAAACAACTACTGGATTCATTGATCTTCTTTGTTGTTTTTCTAGTCTCCATTTCATTTATTTCTTCTCTAATCTCTTTTATTTCCTTTCTTCTTACTTTTTAAGAGCAACAGTTTTGAAGTGGGTAGGAAGTAATTATATAGTAGCGCATGTATTAACTAAATCATTCGTTATTATGGTATTACTTGAGGGACTTCTAGTGTTTTATGATTTCTGTACATTCAGAAGACTGCATAAGTCATGTGTGTACTGCTTGATGATTTATCACAAAATATTCACTCCATGTAACTGCCATCTAGGTGAAAAAACAGATCCAGTAAACTTTGAAAGTTCTGTGGATGATGAGAGCAGAGGCAGGAGGGACATTTTAGGAAGGGTCCACTTAAGGATCCCTCTTTTCCTCTTTAACCCATGGAGAAATGTCCTTGTTATTTATTTGTATGCCATCCTATTTCAGTGGAGTATTGTGTGTTCTTCTTTGGCCATGGTCATAGATGAATTCAAATGATTAATTGTGTGTTTCTTGTAGGAATATGGTTGGGCAGAACGAAATGAAAACTACAGGCGATAGAGCAGTAAACTCAGGATTGTTTTTTGAAGATAAACCAAAGCCTTCAAAACAGTCACTTCAGTCTTACCAAGAAGCTTTGCAGCAACAGGTATCCCTTTATTCATTCATTCACTTAATTTTGAGTACCTTATGTGTTAGCACAGTGGTCCCTTAGAACTCAGAATATGGTAGGGGAGAAAGAAAACAGTTAATTATAATTCAATATGATAAGTTTTGAAATGGATGGACTGGAATGATGTTGGAAACATAGGAAAGGGAGAACAGTTGCTTGGGGCAGTTGGAGAGGGCTTCACATAGTCATCGATATTTGAGCTGGGTGTTGCTCAATGAATAGGTTTGAAATTCCTGGTATTTTCAGGGAATGTAATTGGTATGCATATAAAGGAATGATGGGAGATGGGACTGGGACTGGAGAGTTAGATTGTGCCGTATTGTGAAGTACTATTAAGAGGTTTTCAATTTTATCCTGTAGGTAGAAGACAGCCAAAAGAATGATATTTTAAATCCAAAAGTGAAAGGATTAGTTGATGTGAGCAGATTTGCCTTTTAGGAAGGTATCTGGTTGAGGTGTAGACAGTTGGGAAAGAGATGTGGCTTTTAGTAAACTATCGAGGTAGCCTAGGCAGGAGGAGAGGAGGCCCTGAGTCAGACAGGGAAGATGGGGAGGACATCCAAGAGACAGTTCTGAAGTTTCATTGACAGGACTCGAATATAGGGAATGAGAAAGAACAGAGGGCTTGTAGATGATTCCCAGTGTTCTAATCTAGGAGAATAATGAGGATGTGAACTAAAATAGGAATACAGGATACAGAACATGATAGTGGGCTCTGTTACAGTTTGTAATGTTTGAAGAGAGTTTGATTTAGAGTAATTGTGAAATGTATGGAGTTTTGCGGGGGATACTCTTATCTCTGAGGAGACCCTACAACTCTTGGTAGATACGTTGTTCAACTGAGATACTTTTTTTTAAAGTTCCATTTGAATTTCTTATGAAAGTCTTTTTATTCAACATTTATGTGGCCAACCATCTGAAAGATGAATTTTTTTTATTATAGAATTACCAACATTATTTTGCGTGTTTAAGATTCTACAAATAAAAGTCGACTTCATCTGTCAATTTTTAAATGAGTGTATTAAAAACGCCACTGACAAAACTAGATTTTCCAAATCTAGAAGTCTATTTTATGTATGTGATGACTTCTTTGGCCTTGCTGGAGTGGAAGGTCACTTAAATTTTCTGTGCATGTGATTATATTTTTTAAACTGACTTTCAAAAATGTAGATACTTGTTTGTTACCTGTCCACATGTTTCTAGAGAATAACCCTGTGCTTACACTTGGTGATGATAGGAATGCATTTATTTTGTATGCTTTCATAAAGGTATATCTAAAGTAGTTGAGCATTCCCCCAAAAGCTTTGAACCTTCAGTGTCTCTGAATTCTGGGAATGGAGTTTGCCCAGGGTAGAGTAGGTCTGGAGTCCCTGAGTGGTGCACGTAGCTAACATACTTGGCTGCTAACCTGAAGTCTGAAGGTTCGGGTTCATCCAGAGGTGCCTTGGAAGAAAGGTGTCATGATCTACTTCTGAAAAATCAGCCATTAAAAACCCTGTGGAGCACAGTTCTACGTTGACACCCATGGGGTCACCATGAGTCGGAATCGACTCTTTAGCAACTGTTGTACGTGTGTGTGTTGTTTTTTAAAAATAGATCTGCTGAGGTGGGAGTAGAGTTTCTGGCTGGGCAGTTCCCATGACAGGTTATGTGAAAAAGGAAAGTAGGGAGATCCTAAAGGTCCTCGTGACACTGGTGCGGTTAACCTCAGGTTTCCCTGAATAGTGGCTCAGGGAGAAGTTAGCCGTGGGAGGGGCGGTTGGTTTAGTTCCAAGTAGTGTCAGTGACTGGAAAGGTCTCTCGCGGCATGATGTAGGGGAGTAGCAGCTATATATTCCAGCCGCCAAAGTATTTTTAAATTGAGTATTTACATATATTTGTGATTTTTAAACTCTCTTCTTAAGTATACTGAAAAAAAAGTATCTCCATTTTTTCTAACAAAAATAAAATAAAATTTGGCATTATTATTAATACTATTAATACCAGAATACTGTATCAGAATACTTACCAGCACTTATAATGAATGTTTCTTGTGTTGCCAAGATTAGGGAAAGAGAAGAAAGAAGGAAGAAAGAACGTGAAGAAAAGGAAGAATACGAAGCTAAATTGGAAGCTGAAATGAGAAGTTATAACCCCTGGGGGAAGGGCGGAGGTGGTGCACCTCTCAGAGATGCAAAAGGAAATCTGATAAGTATGTTATTTCCATTGAGTTATTGATTTTTAAAATAAACTCTATTATTTTTAACTTTTAAAAAGAGTGAAGAGTAGAAAGAAATGGGAACCATAGCCTGGAAAACAAAGTCTCTTAATATGTAGCTTAATGGAAAAGAAGTATTTAGATAATACAACAGAGGTTAGAAAGCTTTTCTTCTTCAAATACTATTCATGTATTTTTCTTCCAAATTTTACATCCTCTGATGATAATAACCCAACTGTAGAGAAAAGCTCATGATAATTGGCAAGTTTTACTAGAATATTTCCTTTGTTTCTTAGTATAATAAGTTGTTGTTTTTAACTGATAAGAGATCTTAAAATTACGTGACCTAGAATGGTCGTTAAGATGTTGTACTTAATTCCTATATGTGATATACCTGCCCAGTGCAAGGACTCCTTACAAAATACAAAAAGACCTGACCTCTAGACCTTTTCAGCAGGTTGCAGGATTATATTGATTTACCTTTCAACTATGTACTCAAAAATTTTTGATCTAGTTATCACACAACAAATACTTTGAAAGACAGGCTCCATTTACGATGTTATATATATTAGGATGGTCTCTGGTCAGCTTTTAGCTAAGCAGAATAAAAGTAGAGCAAAGATAATGGTTTTTGAAAATTATTTGATTACAAATGAGAAATGAAAAGATAATAGAAACCAAAAAAAACAAACTCACTGCCTTCGAGTCAATTCCAACTCATAGCGGCCCTGTAGGACAGGGTAGAACCCCATAGGGTTTCCAAGTCTGTAATCTTTACGGAAGCAGACTGCCACATCTTTCTCCTGCAGAGCAGCTGGTGGGTTCGAACCACCGACCTTTTGGTTGGCAGTCTGGCGCTTTAACCACTGCACCACCAGGGCTCCGATGATAGAATAGTACATACTAAAATTGTAAAACTGTAAATTTCATGTTGATCTTTAGGTGTTATACATTAATGTAGGGGTAGCTGGATGATGGAATCAGAAGATTGATTAGATATTGAGTTATTAGAGTTCTTATGAGTTATGCCTTTTATAAATGTTTGTTATATATGACTTTTTAAAAAAAGATACATTTGAGGTCTACTTGTATTAGTACGATCACTCTTTTTTCCCCAAAGGATTTGTTCCTTTCCTGTCTTTACCTCATGAGTGCTTTTCTCACATTCTTGAAGACACAAACTTGTTAATTTCTTTGCAGATGATTTTAGGTGATACATAGATGAACATTTCTTATTTTAATAGTTAAATGTTTATTTAAAGGTGTATTAGAAAAACACTGCATCTATTTCCATTTATGAGTAGTGCTGATCACATTTCCTTTTAAAGTAGAAGTATTAGTCCAGATAATTAATGAAAAGTGCTGTGACAAACAACTCCAAATTCTTAGAGGCTTAAGGCGGTATAAGTTTATTTCTCACTTACGTCACGTTCTGATGCTGTCTGGGTGGCTCTCCTCCAGGAGGTGGTGACTCAGGAGCCAGGCCTCTTCCATTGTGTCACTCCTCCATCTTGGAGTCTTTCACTTCTAGCTGCACAAACAAGGTCCAAGCATCAGGGAGAACAAGTGGATCTTGTTGGGGCCTGGCCTAGAAGTGGAGGAATATCACTTTTGCCTTCTGCAACAGAGTCTGGGAAGTTTACGTTTCTTTATGCCCAGAAGGATTTTTGTTTGAACCATGGGTTATTTAGAAGTGTGTTTTTAAAATTTCCAAATATTTGGGGATTTTCTAAATATCTTTCTTTTATTAGTTTTAGTTTATATTCCATTTTGTTTATAAAAATAATTTTTATGATTTCACCGTTTTTAAGTTTGTGAGATTTATTTTATGGACTACCCATTAGATTTTTACTCATCCTAGAGACTGTAATTTCTATAAGTGTATATATTTTAAATTTGCTTAATTTTGAAATACATGTTGCTAGTAGTGCCAGAGTTGAAAATTAAAATAGTTTGTATGTTGACCAGGGATTGCTGAATAATCCTGGGCCTATATGGTCCTTGGAACTGCTTGCTTGTTGGCTGTGATGCTGGACAGGTTTCAGTGATGTTTCCAGAATAGAACAGACTAGAAGTAAGACCCTGCAATCTATTCTCGAACATCAGCCAATGGAAACCTTATGGATCATGATGATTTGATCCACAGTTGACTATGGGGATGCTGTAGGACTGGGCGGCATTTCATTCATTGTGCATTAGGTTGCCATGAGTTGAGGCTAACTCAACCACAATAAAAAGAACAACAATATTTAACCTATCTCAGCCACTTTCTTTAAAATATTTTGGTCATATTTTCTACTTAAGTACAAAGAGCAGCTAACTAGTGAAGTCAATGTTAATTTTGGAGTGTTCATTTTAGTTTATAAAAAAATAAAGATTATAAAATAAAATAATGAATTTAGTCACAAAAGGATAAATATTGTATAAGACCGCTATTATAAGAACTCAAGAAAAGGTTTAGACATGGAAGAAAACATTCTTTGATGGTTATGAGGGTGAGGAGGGAGGGAGAAGGGGTATTCACTAGCTAGATAGTAGATAAGAATTATCTTAGGTGAAGGGAAGGACAGCACACACTACAGGGGAAGTCAGCACAACTGGACTAAACCAAAGCTGAGAAGTTTCCTGAATACAACCAAACACGTCAAGGGACAGAGTAGCAGGGGCAGGGGTCTGGGGACCATGCTTTCAGGGGACATCTAGGTCAATTGGC